CCCAGGCCTGAACTGTTGGAGCAATCCAGAGGAGCCTGGGCGACCCGGAACGGGCGCCTCGACCTGCCAAACTACCCAGGCCCCAGGGCCTGAGTTCTGAGCGGCCCCCTGGGTGAGGGCTGTCCTGAACAGGGAGCCGCTGACTTCTCAGCTTGCCCCGGCGGGCTAGCCTGGGCCCTCGCTCTCCCGCCCTCAGCCCCATTCAGCAGCGGAGGGCTGGGCGCTGGGCTGTGGCCTCGCATGTGCTTCTCGGCCTCCCTGCTCGCCCTCCCCCCACCGGCACACACAATACAACCTTAGTTTCTGCCACATGGGGTCACCTCCTGCCCCCTGCCCCCTTCCCAGGGGAGAGCAGTAGTAGACACGTGGTAAGCCGGAGGGGTTCCCGGAAGGGGGCGGGGTGCCGATAACCCGTGCGGCTCCCCACTCCGACCTGTAGTCGTTTGCAAGGTAGCAGAATTGGGGTGCCACGGAAAAGGCGGGGACGCAGGATGAGGGTTCCCGGTCTCGCTCAGGCCAGCAGCCGCGCCCGTGCGCCCACACAACGACGCGCGCTCCGAGCCCCCTTCCCGGGCAGTCGCCAGATCCAGTCTCACCTGGTGCACGAAGACGTCCACCGGCGGGTCGAGCGCGACCCCGGCGCGGGCGGTCATGGACAGGAAGCCGAACCCCATGCGCACGTTGAACCACTTACAGATGCCGGCCCCGTGCAGAAGCTGCGGCTCCGCGCTGGGTGCTCCGGCGGCTCCTCGTGCGCCTCCTCCGCCGCCTTGGCGCAGCCACCTGGTTGTGGGGAGGGTCGGGCGCTCAGACGCGGGTCGCGGAGTCGGACTCGGGCAGGAAGCCCCGAGTGCCCAGCCCGCAGTGGACACCCACGAGGGGCAGTTACCTAGCAGCCGGAGAGGGCGAACGTGTCCCATCGCCTCCCGCGCCCCGCGAGCTTACGCCGAGGCCAGGTTGCCCCGAAAGTTTTGCTCCTCTTCCCACGACACGTTGCCCGGGGACACCCGGCTGGACAGGCCCCTCCTCTCGTCTCCCTCCGCCCCCGTGTCCTAGGCGCGCACGCCACTGGGACGCCAGGGTTCCTTGCTCCTGAGACGGCCCAATGAAAGCAAGAGGCCACACCGACTTGGGGTCCTCTGGGTAGCTGGAGGGACACTTCCCCACCTCCCTTCTACGTGGTTCCTGGGCGCCCCTGCAGCCTAAGGTGTCCCTGCTGAGTCCCGAGCTCGAACCTGCAAACTGCTGGTTGGACACGGAGCCCATGGTCGTCGGCTGAGCCCGCGGCCCCGGGCCCCTGGTCAGGCGGCTGCTGGCCCCAGAGAAGTCCGGAGGCAAAGGGGAGGTTCGGAGAAGAGGCTGCTACATCTTCCCCCGCACAATAGCGGTGGGAGGGCCCACGGCTTTTCAAAGGCTCCCAAATTCTAAAAGACAATGCCACACACACACATCTGGAGATTGGGCCGTCGACCCTAGAAGTCTTGGGTACCCCGGAATTTGCGATCATGGGCTTTAGGGGCCCAATGGGAGTCCCCAAAGCAGATACAGGTGGGGGACCCGGAGGAGGGGGTAGTTTAAAAACCACGTGACTGCTCCCACACACACTCACACACAGCCCCCACCCCCCGCAGATAATTATACATTCAAAAGAGTTGGGGGAGGTAGGTGTTAGCCTGGCGGCGCTGGCCAATCAGAAACACAAACCACCTGTCAAG